GAGGGTTTCACCAACTTTTTCCGCCAACACACAAATTAAATTATAAATCAGTGGGCGGTTGGCGTAAAGCGGATGCTGTGTGAAGGACGATGGTGGGATGGTGGGCGGCTCCTCGCCCCAATCCTGAATCCGGAATCCTGAATCTGAACTCGGTTTGGCTTAAGCTTTCCGCGGCTCAGTGATCCTGCGGGGGCGGCCCCTGCATACTGGGCTGTTGTCCTCGCTTTGAGTGATTTTCTTGCTCGTTAAATTCCGCCGCTCCAGCCCGCCTGCCTCTCGCGATTTCGACGGCGACAACGCGGCGTATGCGTAATCTATCAGATTGAGCCACAAAGAAAAGTTTCCCCTTTTCGGGAGCGAGCATCGCAGCGAGCACACGCAAACAAACATAACTTAGAGCTGACATTTGATGCCATTTAATTTGAGAGGCAAACTTTTGCTAGGAGCAGGGGCAGGCAGGATACAGCAGGAGGCAGGAGACAACAAATAAATGCTGAACCCATCCCGGGCATGAATCATGATTGAAACAATCGAGGGAGAAATAAATTGTGCGGATAAGAGCCAGATTTGAGGCGAGTGCTAAATTATTGTTTAATTGCAAATCGATGCCAGGACCGTTTAAGCCAATTGTGGAAAAACAGTCAATAGTCGGTGTGATGGCCGAGTGGTAGATCTATCGGGGAATACTACTTAGAGAGAGAGAGTCCACTCTATTCTAATCAGAGCTCGTGTCATTAATTAATGCTCCGTTTTATGAGAAATAATTGATAACTCTTGCAAGTGATAAACTCTGGGGGGGTATCATTCAATTATTTCCACAATCAATCAATCATTCGTGTCCAGGTGCACTACGCGTCCTTTCGGCCAGGGTCTTCTGAGCCATTGTCCTGCCTTGTTGTTGGCCGTTGCTGGCTGTTCTTAGCTGTCGTTGTCGCCGTTGCCATGTTACCGCCGGCAACAATTTAGTCTTCTGTTCCCATTAAATGCTTGAGCAGCCTAATGAAGGAAATTAGCAACGCAGGAAGGACGAGGAGCACAGAGCCAGGATGTTGCAAGGAGCCAGCAGGCGGGCAATAACTAAGCCTGGGCCAGGGCTGCATTGTGTGGGCAGAAAGTTGCAAAGTCTCCGAGGCAGGCTGCATCCTGCGAAGAGACCGCCGCCATCCAGCCACCCAGCCGCCCAACCATCCGGGCAGCCAGCCATCCAGCCATCTAGCCACCAAGCATCCATCTGGCGAGCCAGTGGGGCGTGCAAGTTATGTTTTCTTTGAAGTTCATGAAGCAAAATGTCTTAATTACTGAAATGAGATGACGACGAGACAGCGAGGCTAAAAAATGCCAAGGAGGCGCCTGCTGCCTCTCCCTTCGCTCTAATTAATTTGTTGTGGCAGCAGAACCGAAAAAAGATTCATTTTCTGTATACACACACCGTCCTGTGTGTGGCTGTGTGGCTGGAAAAGGATGGAAGGATAAGGAGCTGGCAGCCATATATCTTGGGTGTTCTGGTGCACATCCTGCGGCAATAACTCACGACCACTTTATGCGCTTAAGTGATTTCTAATGCAAACCAATTTCCGAAATCAGGCACAAGCACTTCAAGCCAAGGACAAAAGGCCTCTGTCCTGCCCCACCACCCCGTCCTGCTGTCCTGCCGTCCTGTCCCTAAAACCAAAATCTGAAGTCAGAAAGGATATTTCGTTGATGTTGCAAACAGACGGACTTGCTTGCCAAAGGACGCGGCCTGCTCTTCCGTCTATCAGGCAAATGACAGTCGCGTCCTGCCAAGTCCTACGGCCCCCCGCCTCCTCACTTCCTCTTAAGCCCCCTCCTGTTTGTGCTTCCTGCGCCCCCTTCTATCCTGTGTCCTGTGTGCCACGACGATGTTTGTCTTCGACTTGGTCCTGGCTTAATATCACATGCACAGGACCTCCCTCTGGCCGGCTCTGCACATGAAGCGCACGAGAGCGAGGCCAATCCAAAGCTGGCAGCAAAAAAATGGTTCAAAGGACGAAGGACTCGCTTGGAGAGGCAGACAGTCAGCAACAGCAGCAGCAACAGCAGGCAGCGGAAAATCATAAAGGAAAATATTGAATTTACTGCAAAAAATGCAAATTTCTCCTTTGAGGCAAGCCTGAAATCTTCCCTGACTTTCCCAGCTGCTGGGTAGCAAGAGGAGTCCTTGAAAAGGAGTTAGGACAGCCACTGAAGAGAAGGAAAGATGATATGGTTGTGCTTACCACAATGGGTATTACGGCATCGAGTCCTTGCAGGACGGGTCCTGCATCCTTGTCAGTTATGCCGTTTCCGGTACATCTCCTTTGCTGACTGGACCAGCCACTGGCGTGGTCAGAGCGGCTTCCGTTCCTTGCCTCCGCCGCCCTGGCCAGTGCCAACTAGTGCTGTTCCGGCAATCGGAGCACACTTGTGTGTAATATTGCCACAATTTGCTGGCCAGGACCGTAGAGCACCCCGGGGGATGCTGCGCTGCATAAGCAGTAAGGTATTTCTGATGAATTAAAAAAAAAAAGGAAAGCCAGGAATTTGTTGTAATATCACCTCTCCCGATGTAATCAAACATATTGCCAATATGGCGGGCCAGATCGAACAAAAAATGGCAGTAAATAGTCGACTCTCAGGCGGGAGGGGAATGGAAAAATGTTTATGAGGGAATACCGCGAGCAATAAAATTTAATATGAGCAAATGATCCGGGTGCGGGGGACTGTGTAATAACCACAAATAAAAGCGCCTGGCAGAGCCAATGACAATAAAGAACGTGGCAGGCAGGCTGTGCCAGAAGGGCTGTTCCAAATCAAAGTTCCGCCACGGCCCCTGCCGAGGACTATGTATGTACAATGTACATAAGTATCCGAGTAGGAGAGTGTGCGAGCGAAGCCCATGTGAGCGATAAAATTAACAATTCAATGAAGTGAATTCGAAATGGCAAATCGAAAAGCAGGCTTGGCTTTCGACCCAAGAAAGCATAAATAGAAGCCATTCCCCATCCACCATCCGCCATCCTGGCCTCCGGCCTCAAAGCCATCAACTCGTAAAAAATTACGTATACGTAGACGTATACGGAGGAAAATAGAAGCCAACAAAAAGTCTCATAAGCAGCTGTAACAATTACAAGTGCTGCTGTGCTTCTAATTTCGACTCCACATTTCCACAAAAAGCGAATAAAGGTCCCTGTGCCCAGACATCTGCTCGTTCCGAGCACTTTTTTGCGAGCATCCGACCCTTATGGCGGATGAGCGATATGGAAAGAGGTCCTAAGGAATGTTTTTATATACACATCTGGGCATAAACTATTCTTGCGATAAAATGAAAATTCCATTCCGGAATTCGGAAGAAACTCTGGCAATGCAACTCCAAACTTGTACAAATTGTTAATTAAAACGAGAGAGGCTCCAGCGTACGCAAATGTCTTGATTTCTGATTGTTTACTCTTTTGTTGTGGCCGAGGCCTAACTGCCTAATGACACCGATAAGAGTCCTGGGCGGAGGATGTCTTTTGTTTACCCGGCGCGCCGTTCGCTAAAATGTTTACTTTTCGGCTTAAACGCAACGTTTTCGGTTATTTCGGCAAACAGGATGCAGAGTGCAGCGATGCGTTGTCAATGGCAGCATCTGCGGTTTTCCAAACGGCTGCCTTTCAATGGCGTCGTGCGGCTTTGTTCTCCATCCTGGGATGGGTAGCTGAAGATGGCAGCACTTATCGGAATAATCGGAGAAGCCATCTTTGTTTTTTTATTTTTTTGAAAGAGTTTGCTGGGAATGAGCTATGGGGACATTATTGTGTACATTGAGTCGATTATCCAGAAAAGTCTTATATCCTTTTTTATTGCGAAAAAACGATAGGCATCTCACCGATAGACTTTCGATATTTCTGAAGCATACATCCCTATGTTGATTTTGATTAATTCGCATGTGCGGCTTCTTGTTTTCGATGTTATTGTTGCTGTTTGTCAAGCGGAGTAATTGCGAAATCCAGGGCGTGCATCAGTGTGGGTGCAGCAATTATGCAGCAAACACGCACACACGCACCCATACAGACACACACACTTGAGTACACACGCACACATGCGAACTGCAGTTAAGCAAATAAAGCACTAAAAGCATAAACTAAATGAATTAAACGACACAGCCAGTGGGTGGGGTGGGGGGGGATGTGGAAGGGGGTTTATGAAGCGGCTTACAGCCCCTTCTTGGAGCAGAGCCACCCACCAGTCCACCACCCTGCCGCTCTTCCGCTCAACTTGCGCCTGAAACTGGAAGTTTCTATAAAATATGAGATAATAAAAAGTGAATTATGTTCCCGCACAGCGGCAGCAGCGACGAACAAAAAAGAAAATAATAAAAAAAAAAACACAAACAGGAGTCCGGGTGTTGGGTGATGGGGACTGGAGGCTGGGTGCTGGGCATAGGACATGGCCAGCATGAGGATGAGGATGAGGAACAGCAAATAAATGCGAGTACAAACATAAAGCAATAACAGCATCAACAGGGGCAGCGCAGAACAACATTTAATTGCAATTGTTTGTTCGCCAGTTAGTTTTTTATTTGCACTTTAATTATGAAAAATAGGAGTTGGGCTGGAGCTGGACCAGGATCTGGAGATGGCGATGGAGATGGAGATGGCAGAAACTAATTTTCATAAGTACACAACTTTGTTCGCGAAGATGGAGAGCGAGCTGCAGCGGGCCACATGACTTATGGCCCGAACAGGGATCTTGACGGCCACGAGAGTGACCACCACTCTCGGGCCAGTGATGAAGAGCCAGTGATGAAGGACCAGTGATGTTCGGGGCACAGTCCACTTCATGAATACCCGTCCTAATTACATTCAATTAATTCTGTAGATGGAGCTTTGGCAACTTTTGGCCAGGCCATCTCCAAGGGAGGGGTGTTGAAAAGTGCGTTTTGAACACACAATTAATCGGATCAGGGGAACCCTTGAAAAAATATATCGACCTGACATTGTTTGGGGCTGTGTTTCATACAGAGAATTTTTATTAAACTTAAAGCCCTTAGTGCGACGACAGCTTCATTCTTTCAATCTAAAAAAAAAAATCAACTGAGAAAACAACTTCCAAATCCTTTTCCATAAAACACACAAATAAGAAGTAATTCGGTATGAATTCCAGCGGCGGAAATCGTTATCAGCTGCTCTCGCTCGAGGAAGAGAACCAGGTGATTCAGCCCAACAAAGAGCTCCACTCGAAGGCCAACAAGGCCCCGCTGGCCGAGCAGCTCCAGATGCAGTCCCCGAAGCGCCCCAACTCCAAGGTGGAGGGCAAGATCGCTTACGCCCTCGTCCTCAAGGAGACCAAGAAGGACAACGTTGGTCCCCAGAAGGACGCCTTGGCGGGCGTGAAGAAGAACATGATGTTGCAGAAGAAGGACGGCAATTCGTCTGACAAGTCCGGGACCCCCAGTTCCAAGCCGTACAAGACCAGCTTCTCGCCTTTGCGGGGACGCAGGCTGTTCGGTTCTGGCGCCTTCGCCAAGGCCCCCAACAATGCTTCTCCCAAGAAATTGAATCAGAAGCCCTCCGAATCCGAAAACGACTTCTGCCTGCCGCCGGAGATGTCGCCCGAGCGCAAGCCCAGCCTAACCGGATCCCGCCACCGCTTCAACCTGGACCGATCCAGCCGGGCTCGCCTCCACGACCGCCAATCTACTTCCGAACGCACCGGCGTAAAGGCCGTGGACAAGCGCCACGGCGGCGGTTCGCACAACTGGGGCTCCCCCAAGCTGGACATCCAAGAGCACACTAAGGCCATCTCCCGTCGCCTGAGCCGTCAGCCGCCGTGGCGCATGCGCACCATCTCCAACAGTGACGTGTCCATCGTCTCGGACGTCACAGAGGATGAGAGCATGTACTTTACCTTGGACGAGTGGCGGGCCATCGAGACAGGCTTGTCCATGAAGAGTGATGAGCCGAGTCCCGAATCGGAGCCCACTCCGACTTGCAGCCCCCCGACGCCCCTGCGCCGCTCAGGCCGCCAGTTGCGCCTCTTCGACATCATGCGGCTGAATGGCAAGAATATAGAGATCTTCAAATGGCTGCAGGACTCTTGGGACTTCCATGAGCTACCATTGCGCGAGGAGCCGAAGAAGATGCCGCAGGAGCCACCCAAGGTTGACGATGTGAAACAATTCCCGAAACTCTCCTAAGGGCGATCTTTTATCAATGGCGTTGTATTTCCCAATGTTGATTAAATAATCATCTTAATTGCATTGAGACTTTGATTCTTTAGATAAGATCCTTTAAGATGTACATTATTTCAGGATCTAGATGTCTACGTATAAGATACTGCCCTTTAAAACTGAATTGAAATGAAACTAATCATCTCTCGTGAGCTACAACTGTTGACACCTCCATTTAATCCTGAGGGCCTCGGGCCTCGGGCCTGGGTTGGGTCATCGCTTGACCACTTTAATCGCATTAAACCTCCGTGCATTTCTACTCGGGGCTTCCCCCGGCACTAGTGGGTAGTCCTTAAGGCCTTTAAGGCTATTCGCCTAGCGCCTTGAATAGAATTTTCCGACATCACCGCAAACTTTTCAGTTTTCCATGCTGTGCTTCCCTCCAACTCCCAGATCCCAGTTCCCAGTTCCCAGCTCCAGCTTTTTGTGTTTTCTCTTCCATGTTACATTAAATTGAACAAATTCTAGCGAAACAAAAACAAAAGCAGCCAGCAGCTAGCAGCCAGTAGCTAGCAGCCACTGGGGAGGAGCGATGCAATATAAGAAACTGAAAACTGAAAACTGGGAACTGGAACTGCAAAAAAATGTCTGAAAACTTTCAGCCCGGCCTATGGTAGGGCCTTCCCGCTCCCACTAATTACAGCCCCGCTGGCGAGAATGGCTGGGGAGGAGTCTCTGCAGAACTGAAAATTAAATGAAATTCTGCAGAACTTTTCTAGAGTTTCAGGTCTATATGGTATGGTGCTTCATATAAGCAGAAGTACATGTTCATGTCCTTACCAAATAAAACCGAGAGTCGCTAAAATTCCAATTGAACCGGATTTGTCTGCACACCTTTGCGGTGAAGACATCCTGGCGTCTGGGACTGGGACTGGGTCTGGGTCTGAGTCCTGTATGTAAATGCGATCCTGAAAACAAACTGGCAACCAATTAGGAAGATTCCGAAGTGAATTTGACCAAGCAGAGCCAGGGTTTTTGTTAACAACATGAATGCATCACCAGTCAGTCAGTCAGGGGCGAGGCTGAGAAGGAGACCTTCGTCTGGAGGCCTGATGGCATCGTCATCCCCTTGGAGCTGGCGCCACTGGAAGACAGGCTTTTCGGCGTCTGCTTGTTAAAATTGATTGCCTGCGGAGGCAAGACAAAAGCAGCAACAACTGCTTAGGCTTGTTACCTTTTTGCAGGTCTCCTGACCTGGCCCGAACATTGATTTATATTTGTATTGACACTTCCAGAAACTCTGACCCCAGGAGCGCCCCCACCACCTCCACCTCCATCGGCAAGCTGGCAGAGGCAACCCTCTCCCAAATGCCTTCAATTCTGTTTGCCTATCGCACAAATTTGTCCTTGTCATTGTTTTACAAGGAGTCCATCCCCGGCGACGCCCACCAACCAGCCATCAGCCACCCACCACCCACCTCCCGAAAATCAAACACAAAGCACTGCAAACGATGAACAATAAAAACAGGACGACGGCAGCAAGGCAGAGAGGCAGCAACATCGAAATCGATTAGGCAACAAGAGTTTGTTTGGCATATTTATTTAAAAACACAACTTTTGCTAAATTTAAGGCAAGTTGGAGGCATGGGGACTGATAATTGTGGCCTGCACCGGGTATGCCATGATTTCCGTGGCCTCTTAGGGCGTGACACACTTCAATGCCCGTCCGAAATTATTTCAAAGTTGACACACCGAATTACCACTGATAAATGCCGGAACTCTGCCCCACATACTGGTGGGGCAGCACACCCACACTCCACACTGGTCTCTGGCTCCACCCGGAATCGAACTCGGATTCGGACTCACAATAGCCATGCAAATTGGACACGGCTGCACCGAGCGAGGCCCGTTCCTCAATCGGAATCCGGACAAAGACCCCCACTCGGACATGGACATGGACATGGACTGGGGTCATGTTTGTGCGGTGTGTGTTTGTTTAACTCGGTCATCAAGTCAAAACAAGGGGGACACAATGACCGACAGGGGCGGCGGCGGCAGGGGGCGAGGCCATTGTAGCTGGAAAAGAGATGCACAAACATGGGTGCAGCGTGATTGGGGGTTTCTCCCAAAGGCCGGGCACTAATTCGCCACGATTTGCTTTCGGAAAACGTGGAATCAAGCGTTCTTTAAAATTATCGACCACTTTCAACGTCTGGCCCGGGGACCTAATGAAATTGGCGACAAGTCTCCAGTTTCTTGCCTCTTGTTTCGACATTTTTTGGCTATTTTTGTTCGCCATTGTGAGGCTATTAAGGAGCAAGACGCCAGGAGCCACACAAAGCCGGGCTGGAGTGTTTTATTTTCGGTTCGCCCTCGGCGATCGATGGCGCCGAGTTATTTCTGACATGTCACCCTGTCAACGTCAACGAAAACGCCAGTCTGACAGCCAAGTGGCAGGGCCGGCACCTGAGACACGGCCCACAGGACTCCTCCGACACCTCTCCCATGTCGCCAGGCTGCCAGGCTGCCAGGCTGCCAGTCTTCCGGCTGTTGTCAGTTGCCGGCTGCCAATGCGCCTGCCCTCCCAGCTACCCAGCTACCAATTCCATTTGCCATTCGAGAGCTTCGAGTGCCTAATGATGCAGGAACAGCCGAGGACGGGCTTACTCCGTGTTTGTTTATCTAACGAGTAAATACGATTTTAATTAAATGTAAATCACATTGTCAACCCACACACTCTCCCGCCTCAGCCACACGGACTGGGACAGCTGGGAAGCCATAAAAGTTGCTCCACAACCCAGCGGGTGAGCGGGTGAGCTGCTGAGCCACAGAAGCTGCCTGCTGGTTTTTACCCAGAAACAAATATTGCTTTCGCATGTTACTCATACGCCCCATTGCCGCACCCAGACCCACACCCAGGCACCCCCCCCAAAAATCCCCAACAATCCAGTGCTCCACAACTCCATCTTGCTCAAGCGAACAGCCAGGACAGACGGAAAACACCCTTGAGATTATTAATTAAAAGACAAGAAAACATAATTTCTAAATTTCCATACAAAAACCAAAGAGAGCTCCATCCAGACGAAGCTGGGAGGACTGGGAAATGGAAATGGAAACAGAGGCAACAGAATACAAGGCGGAGCTCATGGGCGGCGAGAAAGGGAATTGCTTATTGTGCTGCACTCTGCAGATAGAGCTCATGTGACAGAAGATGTTTATGTCATATCGGTTTGCGAGCCAGAGTTCAGCCAGAGCTCCCTTCACCCGCCGGAGCTGGCTGTGCGAAATTAAATAAGTTTCAGAACCAATTTAAAAATTAATTCTCTTTTTTATATTCCGCAGGGGGCGGGGAGCGGAGAGAAGGAGCTTTACAATACACCAGTGGGAATTTAATAGACAACTAAGTGCTTTTTATGAAAATTTGTAGTAATTTGTGGAAGATCTTCAAGGGAGGGATGAGAGTGTTTTTGGAACCGGCACTCTGGACTATCCTCCTTTTGTAGCTTAAATCTTCTCACCTAAACTGTGGCTCTGTGAAGGCGATACTAGACTATTAGTCCTAGAAGAGGATAAGTCTCAGATTGGGGCAGATGTCTAAGGAACTGTGGTGGGATCGGTGCAGCACGAACTATATTATCAGAATGTAGGAATGGAGGTTGCGGAGATCAAACAAGTCATGATAGCTGAGTATTTGTACGGCGACGATGAAGGGATGGAGATCATGGTCAGGTTGGTGGTTCCCATACCTTCTCTGAGATTAAGGAGCTGATTGAAAGGGCTTAGTATTATTTACCCAAGTCGAAATCACACTCCGGGCGGCATTATGATTGATTGACGAATATATACTGAGACTGACTACTAATCAACACCCCTGTTGACTGTTCCAACTTACACATTCCATTTAAATATTATTTCCAGACACTCATTGGCTCAACCTATACAATGTTCCAAGTCATAGATTGTTCAGAGTTGTGACTAGATATTTAAACCTTTTCCGATTGGCAACCAAAAGATACTCGGCTTAATAGTGCCCTAAAAAGTCAAAGGACTGCAACCACCTCTATGTTAGTTTCAGTTCCAGAATCGGGCCGTCAATTGGGAACGACAGTCGGAGAACTGGAGCCCCGGCGCTTGAATTGATGAACGAGTATTTCCACCTGCCACAGCCACCAGCCACGAGCCACATGCTCCGAGTCTGCCCCAAGAGCACCCTCGCATCCGTTGCCCCATCCATTCTCATTTGCCTTCTTCGGATCCAACAAAAGGCATGTGGCATTGTCGTCGTTTATGCCGTCAAAGTGAAAATCCATGCGAGAAATTATATGTCAAAGTTTCACTTTTGATATGCCAAAGCATTTGCGTGTGTGTGCCGACTGTGTGGGGCATGGAGCTGCAAAGCCCTATGTAGTATGCCCTTCTCACTGCAGCGCGGCACGCTCCACTGACGCACTGACAAAGACACATTTGCGGGCGACACAGCGCTGAAGATGAGCAATGGCACTGACGACGGGTTGTCAGGGCGTGCGAAAGGGGTAACCAGGGTGGAGGAGCGACGTGATACCAATTACTCGAGTTACTGGGGCAGTGCAGGTCCGGGCTTGTGGTCCGGGTCCCTTCCTGACTCCAAGGAGCGTCACCGACCAGCCAAAAGTCGAACCAGAAGCCCCTAAAGTAGGTAGCTTATACCTGAACTCTGGACATCCTTGAGGACGACACCTTCCTTAAACTAGGGCATATATTTAATTCAAGAGGAAAGGGCATCTGCCAGTCTCCAGTGCATCTTTTTCGAGCTTTTTTCTGTTCCAGTTAGTTGTGCGTTGTCCTTTGGTTTTGTCTATCCGAGAAGACGATGGCTTTCCATTCTTGCACCTCCCCTCCACCCGGCTACCCCTGCCACTCGACTGTTTCCTTTTTGTTGATTTTTCCTTGGGCTTGTGCCATGACCTGCACTATTCGGTATTTCCCCGGGGGTATATCTGATCCGATAAAGCCCGTGGCCTTCAAGGCGGCGCATCACCCACTTTCTGGCAGCCCCGGCCCCGTCAAGGCGGAGTTCCGGACAGGTTCGTTCTGCCGGTGGTTGGTCGGCA